TATTGCCTCAAAAGTAGATACTAACTTCCTAAGTTTAGTTTGGAAAGTGGAAACTGAGTGTCTGGGAGGCTAAGTTCCTTATTCACATGTGATAAGAGGCAGAAGGGATTCAAGACTGATCAATTCCAAAGTCTTTGCCTATTCAATACCAAAATAGTCACATTTTCAGATTTTAAAAGAAAAATGTGCTCTTGATCAGAAAATGACCTCAAATATTGACACAAGGGCTGAGAAATTCCTCTGATAAACAGTTTAAAATAAAAACTGAAAGTCAACTTATTTACTAGTGTGAAAAGTTAGCTGAGTACCTTTTAAATAAATTGAGCTTAGCTACGTGAAAATCGTCACTTTCTAGAATTACTACTCTGTAACAGCTTTCCAGAGAGGTATCTCTGTAATTCAGTATCAGTTTAGGCTACAGTATTGTGCTAAGCACACAATTTCAATTATGTTGAGACACTTTAATGGGAATCTTTGGCAAACACATTTACAAATCTTTATAATGTAAATGGCAGCTGAAGGAGAAATCTTCTAAATCACACTGATGCTTAACTAGATTTGGTTCAGTTACATTTCATTGATTTTTATAGAGAATACCCATGACATGCTTCAAAGTTTTCATTTGGCAAACCACAAATTAATCAAAGCACAGATCAGAGGACACCACGTGACATAAAGCCACCCACAATGGGCCACAGGGGGTAACACAAATGGAAACCCAGAGAAATTCCGACAAATACTGAACATAGACCATGCAAGGATGCAACAAACATTCCGTGGAAAGACATTTATTGGTTTTAAAGTCTTGCTTTTCAGAATCATTGTTTTTCTCATTAGGACAGTGCCTCTAGGTGGTTGGACTCATGCATTCACTCTCTTCCAATAGTCAACATTTCTTTCCTATTTATTTTATGTCACATGCAATTTTCTTCCTCTCCTTTTGAGGATCACAGATTAGGACAACTTTGGAAAGAGTACACCTCAAAGTCTCAGTGTGAATTGTGGTGACAGTCTGAAAGTTTACAGTAGCCCACGGTATATAGATCAGCATCCTACCATGGTCATAATGGCCATGAAATAAAATCACACAAGCAGAGGAGGCAAGCAGGAATGAGACCATGCACATCAGGTTACAGCAGTTCTATTTTGGCTCAATTAGTGTCATCACCAGTGCTTGCTCAAGATCTAGAGATGCAAAGTGATTGTGTGTCTACAAAGTAGGACAGCCACCTAATTTACCTCCAGGAGAAGAAATGGGGAAGCACCCTTCTTATTTTAACTCTGCAGGAGAAGCGGGGGTGAATCCGCAGTGAGAAGCAGTGCAGGAATTTATTCCCTCACTACATGCTGCCTTACTGACCCAAGAGGATGACCTTGGAGCCCAATCTTCCCAGTTCACTCTGCTATTTGTCTAGCCCTGCTCTGACCTTAAAAACAAAATCTTGCTTCCCCTTGGATCTACATTCTATTCAAATGTCTTGATCATGTCTCTGCCCAGCACACTTTTTGCTCCTGTGCTTCCTCTGGAACCAAGCTAACATTGCTTATTGCCTTCTTGGATGTCAACAGTGTTTATTTGGCTTTTCCAGTTCGTTGGCCACATCTTGAGACTCAGATGGCCCTGTGGTTGAATGATACTCAATACTTAGTAAACTGGAGGCTGCAAAAATCAGAAAGATAAGGTAGAACATAGCATAAAGCTAAGGAATGGAGCTGTATATTATTTTAATGTCTTTGGAGAAAAAAAAAATTGATTATGACCACATGGGCTGAGTTCCAAGCTCCTTTCTACAGCTTTCCAAAACAGTTGGGAGTGGAAACTCTGTCCTTTGCACCGACTTGCTTTTGGCAATAATGTTTCCCAGCCAGCTTGGAAGACAGACCTGTGGCTCTACTGACCCAACGGTGGGCTGAAAAGTGTGTGTTTGGATGTGGACCACATGAATTGCTGAACGGTCCATGGGAAGCATCATGGAGGATCAGAAAGCACCAAGAAGACAGGGACTTTGGCTTCGCCCCTCCAGTTTACTTTGGAAAAGCCACTCAACCTCTCTGGGCTTGTTTTCTCCACTACAGAGTGTATAAAGTTAGACTAAGTGGCCTCCCAGATTCAATGGTTTTACCCTCACTCTAGTTGGGAAGCAAGTTCTGCCTTTTTAGGAAGCAAATTCCATTAAAATTTTGCATGCTGTTAGAAGGGTTCAGACAAAACTCTGAAACATAATTCTTGGGTAAGGGGCCAGCCCCACACACCACGTTAGGTTGTGAGGTTGGACTGTTTCCTGCCTCCTGAAATCAGATCTATAGACAGAGTTCCTGCAGGTAAGAAGGGGCAAGGAGCTGCCCAAGTCTCCCCTCCAGGGCCGGTGTGGTTGAAGACCATGCCCTCTACAAGGGCGTCCTCAGCCCCTCCCCATTTCCACACCTGTCCTTCTCCCTTCGTGCCCAGCCACAGCTCAAACCTGACTTACGCAGTGAAATCTCTGCTTATCAGTCAGGAAACCTCTGGGCTTGTACAGAAGACTGCACCTTCTGCAATGCGATTTAGCATTTAGTTATCTTTCATCTCATTGCTTGTTCTTGTGCGTTATTCTTGTCTTATGAGTTCCTCCAGGGAAGGAGAGTGTCTTCAACTTCCACATTCCCTATATTTGAGTGAGTGGAGAGATGGTCGATAAGTTTGGTTGATTAAGTAGGGGGTTGCGGACAGAAAGCCAGTATACGATTACAAGGTCATTGTCTTTGAACCGTTGTAATTGTTCAATCTGAGCCTTTATCCAAGTGTGTTCTAACTAAAGCCTGCTGTAATATAATTTCCCAGTACTACAAAAACAACATGTGCAGTTCCTATGACAATCTTTGATTTCCCAAGCACTTTCCCTCATTGTTTTGGTCAATTCTCACGCTGACCTTGTAGGAGTTTACAGCCAGAGAACTGAGGCTCAGGGAGGTGGCGTGAGCTGCCAGAGTCACACAGACACCATAGGCGTCTGTCTTTCTATCCTGGGTCTTTTTCACTAGTCTACAGAGTTTCCTCTCAAAAGATGAGTTTGAATTTTGATAAATAAAGTAAACTTGGGAGCTGGAAAATTTAGGCATAAACTCTGTTTTTTCTGAGTAATGGGTTATAGAGATTGTGAGTCTTCTAGGTACTGTGTGTGTGTGTGTGTGTGTGTGTGGTGTGTGTGTGTGTGTGTGTGTGTGTGTGTGTGTAGGTGTGTACAGAACCAGGGTAATCACCTTGCTGCTCAGCTGGAACTTCCTAGGGCAGAAGCAATTGTCCACCTTCCGGAAAGCTAGCCAATAAAACACGTGCAGGTCTTACCCACAGTGGAGGGGACACCCAACAACAAGGGCAGCCAGGCCAGGAAAACCATTGGATGGGAAGGAGTTTTGTGCTGATGGGAAGGAAGCACGTGTTCATATTTTTTTATTCCTTTGGTTCCATGGCCTCTGGCTGGATCTGAGTTCATGCAGACAGGTGGAGTGTGGAGCTGGAGGGACATGGACATCGGTGCCCTTGTCTGATTACTCCCCTGCTGTCTGTCTGAAGAGGGATGGATTTCTTGGCCCCTGTGGGAACAGGACCCCAGCCAGCAGGCTCACTGGGTCCAGAGCGAGCCTCCCTCCCACCCCAGGCTCTGGAGGCAGGCGCCCATTTCAGAGGAGGGACGAGACTTGGTGGCAGGCAGGACCCACACGTGGTGGGGCACGGTGGCATGTCCACAGCCGGGCTCGGCTGTTTGACAATACCCCGTGTTTGCTTACAATGCCTCCAGCCACCAGGAAGAGAGTTCTTGCTTCCAACTAAAAGTTAAAGCAACAGTCAGGTTATAAATTATTCCCCACTGCTTTTAAAATGACAAATTATTACCAATTTAAATGAAAATGGTATTTCTTTCACTAAAGAATAGATTTCTTCTATAACTTCTAGTTTCTAACAAACCTAATGGAAATGCCACGTGAAAGAAATCAAATTCAGGGTGTACGGAGAGGTCGAAATGGAGCCAAATGTCTCCCTGTTGCTGTCGGCCGTCACTGAGTGCACCCTCAGATTGTAACATCTCCTGGCTGCACCTCGAGTAGGGCAGCCAAACATCTGTGGACAGGTTCTCCGACCAGCTCAAGTACACAGCACTGAAGTGACCTATCTTGGACATATAACTCCAAATATATACGTATGGCTCCTGAAAGAAAGTCACTTTTAATTTTCCATTAGACAAGGAAAATATCTGGAAAGAAATAAACTTGGGTGCTTTCCCTAGCAAGCTGTTTCTCTCCTAGCTCTTTAATACCCACAGTGTCATTCCATTACGACAAAGAGCACAAGGGTCCAAGACCATCCACTACACGTCAGGTTTCCAGGATGGAGAATTCTGCTGAGGAGGATCAGAGGAGTAAACACTGTAAGTTCATTGTCATCAAATTTCATGACTATTATTACTCGGAGGGAACATGAGCAGGAAGTCACGCATTCTCAATACACTGCCATTTCGGCTGGACAGAGCTGCCTGTGTACTTGGGGCAGATAAGAAAGTGGTAAAAAAGAAAAATAAAAGCAGCAATAAAGGGTAGATTGGTGAATGGCCAATTGTGCTGGGAGTGGCCGAGCCCCATCCTTTGAGGCAAGGTCACTCAGATCTCTGACAACCTGGGAACAGGTCCCCAAGTAGCCAAAACTGCCTGAAGAATTTTATATAATCAGCAAAGAAGAATTTTCTTCCTTCATAGTGGTAAAATAAAATGGGCAACATTTGGGTTTGGCTAAATCATCCCTTAATGATTCCAGTTAATTTCTAATTGTCCCCCTGGTCACTTCTGGGAACAATTTTAATCCACTGGCTTTTTGCAAAGACCATGAGTTCCTAAAACTCGTTTCCTGTACTTTGCTGCAGAATGCTGCCGCAGTATCGGTAGTATTTGAGATACTAAATTTTTAAAATGGATTAAATATTTTAAAGGGAAGGATAGTCCACAATGACTGGATTCTTGAGGCAGTGTCTCAGGTATGCATGATTTTATTTCAAACGTGTCCAATAAGATTTTCCACGTGGAATGAACATTTTACCTCTTTCCGCATATTATTATAAACCGTATTTCCTCATCTCACGGAGTTTCTTAGAAAGTTCTAAGTAACGTAACAGAAGAGAGAAATGAAACCGTGGGGAGATTAAATAACAGGAAGTTTATATCATGGCGAGGGGGCTCACGCATCCCAGCCTCAGGGGACACACTAGTGACTACTGGGTGAAGAAATAAACCCGGTCATGCAAATCGTCGTACGATCACTTGGTACCCTTTGGCAGCTCAGGCCTTCCCTGTCACTAGCACATAGAATAAAATGAGTCAGATGACTTCAGTGAATGGGAAATTGTCTTTGCTTTTGGTGGTGGGTTGACCAGTGGAGAGAAGACCGGAACACGATGCACTGTCGTAGGAGCATTTCAGAATATTGGAAGAGACTGTCCGCACCTGACCTCCGACGCTCTGAGTCCCAGGGAGCGTGCACTCGGCATCTGCACCGTCATGGGCCCCGTTGTGGCCACAGCACCCCCTGCCTTTCATCTTAGGGCACTGGTTTCTCTGTGGACAGCCGCGCACCCAACATCAGCATGGAGAGCACACTGTAACCAAGTGGGCAGTTGTTATTTTAAATCACTAGAACCTGGCAATATTCAATTTTTCTTTTCATGAGCCAAAAGTCATAGCACAAATGAGGTCTACATGTCATCACATGGGGCCACAGAAAGACACATGTCTTCAAGTTATGTTGACCTGCCAGGGAGAGAAACAGAGATACAAAGCACAGCAAACATGTACTGGCGATGCAGGGCGTTCTTATTAAATATGAACGGCGCCATTTACATGTAAATGGGTCGAGCAGCAGGCATTGAGTTTCCTGCCTGCTCTTTGGAGCTGCTGTCATGGAAAGAAGCTAAGGGCGATGTGACTGGGGTTGGCTGAGGGGCAGGCGGGCTGGGAAATGTCACCATCTCAGCGTTTGTTCTAAAGTGACTTAGAGATGATCATTCATTTATAATCGAAACTTAATCCCGAACAGCGTTGGCTCCCTCGTGCTCTCTGTAAACACATCTGTTCATAAATAACTTAAACGTCTCCTTGGCATTCAGGATTCAGTTCCGGCTGGAGTAAAAAAGGATGGAGGATGCTCAGCGTTGAGGAGGAGATGTTGGGTATCTGTGTGTGTGGAGAGGCGGCTTTAGCGTCTAATATGCGTTGCAACCATCAGCCATCAGAGACGGGAGGGGTGACCCAACCGTATTTTTCATGAGTCTTCACCAAACTCTTGAAGGTGGCTTCAGCTTCCTTGCGACTGAAGGACTTTTTTGATTTGCCGGCTTTTCTACAGATCCGCCCCTGTGTGAGAGGAAAAGAAAAACCAGGTTAGAACCCCAGCAGTAATCCTGTTCCCTGCCCTCTTTGTTAAAAACACACAAAGCTGTGGGAATTTCCGATGTCTGAGTCGATGTGATGTATTGGCCTGGACAGACATGGAACGCTACAGCTTTGGTACAAAACAGATGGAGCAGTCCAGTGGCCGGCAAACCTTTAGAGGAGGGGAGGGGAGAGGCACTCGGGGTGCTGTCTTCACAAACCCACAGATTGCCCCTCTGAACTCACTCATCCATCAGGCTGAAGAGCAACCTCTGCTCCAGTTCCCGAGATGGCGCTGGGAGGGCGAGCTTTATCAAAAGAGCATCGACGGAGAACCAAGTGTGTTGTCCCTAAGGCAAAATATTGTTCTAACTTCCCTTCCCTCCCACTAGAGAATGCCTTTCATTATAACTTTCAGCTCCTCTTTGATAACAGTAGAGATATATATTTATACAGAGTTGTGCATATTTATATATTCACACACACATTTTAAAACTCTGACTTTTAAAATTCAAGTTCAGGAGCAATTAGCAAATTTCTTCTAAGTCATTCACTTGGGAGCCATTTCAAGAGAAGACAGTGGAGCCATTTTCATGGAGGACGAAGGCTGGCCGCGAGTCCCGAGTGAGGGGGTAAAGGTGAGGGGCCAGTGCTTCCTTACACAATCCCGGAAGACCGGTGGGGGCCAGGGGAGAGTCCACTCCCCCTCGTAGTGACCAGAGTGTTCTGGTCTGAAGGATGGAGGATTTGGTCTGCAGTGGACAAGAGGGTCTGATTCATTTTAGGATGGGCACAGAAGGCTCTAGACCACGAGAGAGAAGGAACCAGAAGACACTACTGATGTGACTGTGTCTCAGGCCACACCATCCTTCCAGAGAGCCTGGGAAATGAGGTTTGTCTGGCATCAGAGGAAATGAGCAGACTGAAGACGACGAGGAGTTGGGTGGTGCCGGGCCCTCAGTCAGAGAGAGCTGTTGCGGCTCTCCCCATTCCAGCAGCAGTCCTTCTTCATTACGCCTCCTGATGGCGGATCAGCTCAAACCTTCTCAGCCTCTCAGCACACTTCCTTGCACCTGCTTCCCTCAGCCTCTCCTGGAAGATCTGCTTGCCTTCCTGAGCGTCTCATGCATGCATTTTGCAGAAACATCCCTGAAAGACCTGGCTGAGTTTCATCCACTAGCAGGCACATGCATACCATTCTCAACAATCTCCTACTGTTTACGGACTTTTACTAACAATTCTCTCTGAACGGGCCCCCTGCATTCCCAGTATGTAATATTTCTGTTATAGTACACCTGCAAGCACGTGTCGTCTGTGTTGTACGGTGACCTGAATCAGAACCAGGCCTCACCACCAGTGGCCTCGCTGGGCCACACTGCATACCTGTGCCCTTAGACAGGCACTGAGGGCCTCAGGTCTATGTGGTCATAGGCATGCAAGGTCCACCCAATCTTAGCTGTCTCTGATAACCCACTGATAACTCCTGGGGGAAGACAGCTGTACCGGCCTCTTACTTCTCAGGGAAAATGGTGCCTAGTCACTAGAAACTGGGAATGGAAGACCACTTTGTGTATTTAAATTCAGAGCATATGGTTCCTTTTCAATGACTCAGACCAATGCCCAGTTGAAGAGTCAGAACTCCAGGTTACTGTTGTGCTCTGCCCCTCTGGACATCTCTCTGGCTGAACTTGTCCATCTGCCAATCAAGGGCAGTACCACCTCTTCTAATTTGCTGCGTGGTTCACATCAGATGAGCTGCTAAAAGGGCGAAGGGAGACTAGAAGAGAAGAAGACAGGAAACCGCCATTTACTGACTTCTAGAAACTTCCCTGTGTTTATCCAGGATATGATTCCTAGTTTTAATTTTATAACTTCCTGCTTTGCTTCGGTGGTGTAGTTATCCTTGATAAAAAATGACCACTAAAAGCTCATACATTTATAATCATTACCATCATGGGCTGAGATCAAAGTGCAAAGTTGCTTCATTAAACATATGCAAATACATCTTTTCAGGGATGTCAGCATCAATTTCTACATCAAGTAGGAGCAAATATCAAGGGCTATATTTTTTTGCACAAAACACAAATTCTAATCATCTCTATCATTCTTTTCTATAATACTAAAAATTTATGGTATGATTCGAGAATTCTGAGCTAAAAGCAGCCAGACAAATACAGGCTCACGATAATCTTGGAATAGTCTGTCCATTTTGGCATGAACATATACTTTGCCTATTCTTTGTGAAAGTCCCAATTGTTATAAAAAACAACAGACAAAACCCCATGAACAGACCATGCTTTGTTGCCTTTTCTTCCTGGGAAGAATTATGAACACAAAGCCTGAGCACTTGGTCAATTCAGCACCAGGAGACAGAGCCTGCTGTAAGCCCATCCGAGGTCTCATGCCTTCACTGCACTCAACTGGCCATTAAGAACTCTCCTTTCGTCTCCTGATCTTACGCCCAATTTTACAGTTAACAAACATCTTTTCATAAACTGCCCGTCCTCCCCTGATTGGCTCTATAAATATCACCCAGTGAAACACTGGGCTTGAAAACCATCACTTACATTTCCTGGCTCTGCCAGGGTGGCTGGGCTGTTTTTGCTGAAATGCCCTCGAGGTGTCACTGCCCCAAGAAGGGAAGGATGGCTCCATCCATCCAGGGCCCCTGACTGTCTATGGCCATTCTGATGCTGAGCCGGCTCCCATTAGTCCTTCCAGGGCACAGTCTCCTGGAGTCTGGACATCAAGGAAACCTTCAGCCTAGCTCCTCTGACTCTGTATTTCCTCTATAAACTGGGAACGATACCTGCTTCACAGCATCATTATGAACATGGAAGAAGATATTGAATTTGGAAACACTTTGAGAATTTTAAAGTGTAAACAATTAATTAAGAACTGTTTTTCTTATTCTTATAGCATTCATATTTCTCCCTTGTCTGTTTCCACTTAACTAATAATCCAAGAGTCTCTTCTGGAGATCTTCTTTTGAGTAACTCATTTCTCCTAGAATACCTCTACTTGTATTTAATGCTAAAAGACCTGGATGTGACAATTTACTCAACTCACTGTGATAGCTCTGTGTTATCACCAAGAGTTTAGGTAAGTAACCAGTCTCTCTCTGGAGCCACAGATTGTAAACGTAGAGTTAGTTATGAGGAACTGGAGGATTTTGCCCTAACAACCTTAAGAATCTCACCATGACATTGATGTAGAAAGTGCTAATGAGATCGCCATTCTCTAGGGCGGCATCTATCAAAGAAAACCATTAGTTGGTGGTTTGGTTTGACCTTTTTCTTTTCTTATGCCTTTTGGCGGCCAATCACATTGAGTCAACATGAAGACATTTCCACACAGCTAATAAGAAACCCCAAACTCAAGTCCTCAGTTCAGCTGCCTGATCTCGCCTGGTTTTCATTACCCCAATGTGCACATTGAATTTCAGCCTGGCTTTGCAACTTCTGCATCGCTCATTCATTCATTTATTCAGTATGTTGGGCACTGGGTTTAAAAAGACACAGTGATCCCGGCCCCTGCCCATAGGGGCTTAGAGTCCACCATGGGGAGATAATGGGGGTGCTGTAGCTGCTGAGATGGAAGGCGTGTATCAGGGTTTCTCAGCCTCAGCACTATTGACATCCTGGGCCAGATAATTCTTTGCTGTGTGATGGGTGGGGGAGGACTGTCCTGTGCACTGTGGGATGTTTAGCAGCATCTCTGGCCTCCACCCACCAGATGCCAGCAGCACCCCCCCCCCGAGTTATGACAACCAAATTGTCTCTGGGCATTGTCAAATGTCCCCTCAGACATAAAATCACCCCCAAATGAGAACCGCTGGTGTAGAAAATAAAGATGGCCTAGAGCAAGGAGTCAGTTCACTCTCTGCTTGTTTAGCAAACAATGGCTACGTGTCTTCCCCGAGTTAGGAACTGTGCTGGCTCCTCAGACTGCAGGACTTTCTAAGGTGGATTCTGGTCCTCACAGAACTGACAGCTCAGAGGGGAGGATGGAGGCTACCATGGGGGAGAGGAAAAGAAAGAGCGAGGGAGGGGGTAGTGACCAGAATGATTTCTTCATCTAACGACACCTGAGCTGAGCCATGAAATATGGGGGGTAGGTGTTTACCAGCCCATGGTGGTGAGGATAACGGGTCCCAAAGCAGAGGCTGAAATATCCGGCTGTATTTAGAGAACAGTGGGCAGACACTTGGTGAAGCTGGAGCATGGAGCACGCGTGTGTCCGTGTGTGTGCTGGGGTGGGGGTGCAGAACTCAACAGACTTGGCTTCAAATCCCTGTTCCAACACTTCCTGGCTGTGTGACCTTGAGTGAATTACTTAACCTCTCTGAGTCTCAATTTCTTCATCTATAAAATAAGTATAATAATAGTATTATATGACACTGGATTTTTATAAGGATTTAATATGTTAAAACAGACAGGATGCTTGGCACAGTGCCAGGCACAGGGTGAACACAATAAATAGGGCTTTTTAGTTTTTAAACTATTACAGAGGATCTTATCCTTTGGCAAAATTAGTTTCATTCTGTCTTCTCGGAAAAAAAAGCACAAAATTTTCTGTCATTCCTGTGAATATTATGACTTGGTTTATCAGTCACAAAAATGTCTTCAGGCAAATCCAATATTTTGCATTTATGTGGCTAATTTCTCAGCCTTTTCAATAATGTCTATTTTAACAGGTTGACACAAATACATTCATTCTATATTTCTCACTCGATTAGATTGTTCTTCTTACTCCTTTTTTTTCTTTGCAAACATACTTCCGTGGGATTTTTATGTTTCATTTGCCTATGAATTACAGGCTTTTGCTCCTTTAAAAGTAGTTAGAATTTCCAGACTCCTCACGTAAAGTTTTGCTGTTTCTTAACTCATTTCCTGGGATGAATTACAGAGCTGCTACTTGTTTTCAAAGTCTTTGAAAGTGTAATTGTTAGTCTAAAACACTCAACACCCTAACCCCTGCAA